CAGTGCAGTGCAATCCAGTGCAGTGCAATCCAGTGCTTGGCCGGAGTCGATCGATCGGCACCGGACGGACCCAAATGGAAAACGCTCGGACGAAGCTCGGGCTGCGCCTGTTCCGTGCTGCGGTAGATACGGCTGGAGGTTGTGTTTGTTGCTGCTGCTATTGTTGCCGTTGTTGTGGACGAAACAAAAACACGGTGCAAAAAGAAGGTAAGCCAAAACAACTCAGATGCAGCAAAGCTCTCGTACTAGTGTGCCGGTACTAGAACTACCATTGTCCGCATGGTTCCGTGGACTGTAGCTGTAGCTGTAGCTGCAGCTGCAGCTGCAGCTGTAGCCAAGCGAGGAACCTGTGTTGCTTCGGCTTCGGCTTCCGTGCTTGCTCCGTGCGGGGAGATGGCATGGGATTTTTCTTCGACTACAAAGATATAAAGATATACATACTCATACACAAACACAAACACACATACCGTACCGCAAACAAAACCCGTCGGTGGGAACAGGAACAGAATTATCGATTATCGGTACCGTATCCCTGTCGATCGATCGATTGATTTGTTGGACTTACTTTTCTTTTATTCTACCAAGTCAAATAAAAGAGTAAGAATGCCGTTGGGTGGACAGTCGGAGAACGGAAGCTGGGTGTTCAAATTGAAATTGAAACAAACAAGTCAAATACTTCGAATTACTGTAATACAGTAATGGATGGCGTACGTTACGAAGAGTGCTGTACAGGTAAGAGACTCGTACGATTAATCATACCCAACGAGTTAAAGTAGTACTTGTATTGTACTGTAATATCCTACGATACAGGTACTACGAGTACGAGTGCACGAGATTCATGACAAACCTCTCTCCTCCCATCGTTTGACGATTTGGGGTATGGTACGTACAAAGAGTACCACACCCTACTTGCTATGACATAACGGTACTTCGAACTTGCGTACCGTACGTTAGGTACGGGTACTCCGCCGTACGCATGGTTTACTTACGAGTCGTACTCGTGCCGCAACAATTTGGGATGCGTGCGTTGAGGCTTGAGGCAATCCTACGTAACTGCGGTACGAGATACGAATCAAAATGAGTTGGTCGGTCCGGCGTGCTACATACCATACCGTACGACCACTAGACCGGGGAGGATGATTTTCGTTCTGGCGCGTTTCTGGAATGCATCGTAAATGGTACTGTACGTACCATACAAGTAGAAGACTCTACTTCTATCTTCTATGGGGTACTGTATTGCGTACGTATGGTATGACTATTAAGTATTATGGTATGGAACATCAAAGGTACCGGTACGAGGTACCTTACGCACCGTATCTAATACACAATGGACCCTTTGTTGTGACAAAGATTTTATTTTTATGCTTTTGTCGCAACTAGTAAACTCATTTCTATCTATTGAGGGGATTAGGGTATTTGTTGGCTCGTCAAAGCGCACTTCACATTTTGACCTGGCCACCGATGAATAAAATTATATTCTATTTCATTGCATTATACAAATTCGAGAAACGGACTGGAAGGCATCCAATAGTTGTAGTCGTCTTTCGTCAGGAACAGCTGCATCGGTTCTTCCGGTGCCGGCGTTGTGCCGAACCCCCTGTGACCGGGGTTTCCGGGGTCGGTGTCGGCATCCATCGTAGTCTTCCGCCGGATCAGCTCATCGGCGAAAACGCAGATGCCGTCGTTGTCGCTTTTGTGCTGGAAATCTTTCACCGTCTTTCCCTCCAGTAGCTCCGGTCGACCCTTCACCAGAAAAGGGTGCCTGCATTCCCCCCGGCCCGGCCCGGTAAAGGTCCTCTGAAATCCGTACAGCTGGAGCTGCCTCAGAAAGGATTTGTACCGCTTTTGGTTGAATCCGTTTCGCTGGAGCACTTCTAGAATGGCCCGGTGTTCCCTTCCAACAAGCAACCGCTCGTGCCGGTCGTCGTTGGTGTCTGCATCTGCATCTGCTGTTGTTCTTCCAAAAAAGGAACAGCCCACGGCGCTCGAGTCGGCGTGGATCTTGAACGAGGTTCCGTCGGGCATCCACGAAATAACGTGGTTGTAACCGCATCGCTCCGAGTTTTCCAGCATCGAATACAGCCGCTGCGGGAAAAGTGGAGTGCGTTTTTTTATCGGAACCGTGACGCGTTGGCCGTGTGTGCTTTGCATATTTCTTGCTGGTTTGCTTGCTCCTCGATCGATTCAATTCGATTTGATTTGCAGCTGGAGGAACAGATCCGTTGTTGGTTTGTCGGGCTGTCGGGTTGCTTTTCTTTTTTAGTTTGCACGCGCCCGAACAAAAAATAATGAGTGAGTGCTTGGTTGAGAGTGCAGAATGAATGGTTGTGTAAATGTTGATGTTTGTGTTGATGATGGTGTTGGTGTTGGTGTTGGTGTTGGTGTTGGTGTTGG